TATTAAGTATCCACTCCCATGCCATTTTTCCCCCTGTTCTACAAATTGTCAATGATTTGCTTTTGATTTCTCTAATGTAACTTTCTTCTCCAATTTTATTATTGTAGTACATTTATCATACCTTGATCTCTTTTCTGCAAAACCTCTTTAACGTCCCGGGAATTACTTCGTATCTCGGCTGTAGCTTCTTCGAATTTCTTTATTAGGTTGTACTGACATATTCGTAAGTTTCCTCCTCGTTTCAGATTTTTGAATTTCTTCTTTTACTTTCTCACATGTTATCGAATTTCTTTATTAGGTTGTACTCACATATGATACACAACAGCGGAATTGTAGTGTATCTCCACAACACTAATCTGTAATACATACAAATATATTCAAATGAAAATAATGTCTAAAGTAAATATATTAAAAAATAATTTTATTAAAGTTTTTATGCGTACGTAAGCAATCTTATTTGTCATTAAATAAATCTTTGACATAAAATTTAATTTAAAAATTTATCTTATATTAATTATAAATATCTTAAACATTTTATGAAATATTTATATATATTTGTTTATAACTATAAATATTTTACTAAATATTTAAAAACTCTTAAAATATAATATAAAATACTTTATTTATTTGATAGTATTACATATAGTATAGCAATTATATTACATAAATTTAAAATGCTCTATCACACATATAAATAATTACTTTCACCAATAATAAATAATAAAATTATTATTATAATTATTATGAAATGCTCACCTCGCGATTCTCCACGCGGTCATCCCTATCACTGCCCCAGCTTTTATTTTATTTGTTTTTTTGTGAATCATTATTTCTTCGTGCTACATCTGTTTAAAAACAAATACATTATTAATGACAATTAATTACATTACAATTAGTTACAATTAGTCACTAGAATAACAATCGCGTAGCTTTATCATACTTTATTCGACAATCTTGATGTTAATTACACTTAACACGTATGTAATCTGCATGTTGCGATAATGGAAAAATCAGAGCAGAATTACGGCACTTTTGATACCCGCGATATTTCATAAATAAAACGAGAACGCAATGGATTGTATTTAATCGTAAGCTAATAAAGGGGCTTGTTCTTTACACGATCAATTTTACGTCAAAAACGATGGGATGGCACTGCGGTAATGCTTCGCCATTGCGATATTACGTTTTGATATCCAGTCGAATAAATACTGCGAAATGCGATCGAATTATCAGTGTACGATTCTCGAAATCTATTATACGGTATTTCACTGAAAGAATGAAGAAGTTAATAAATAAATGCAAGTTTTACTTACCTATTAAATGAGTAACGACGTCATCTCATCCGGAGCTAACTCTGTCCTGAACTATCGCATCCTGCAAATGAAACGTGAACACATTAGGATAGCGAGAAAGCTTCTTTTTCTAGCGCGAACTTCACACGCCAAAAAAACGTGGAACGAGGATACTATGTGTCTCACTCTTAACTTCGCGTTTATGCATTTTTCGCATTTCAAGCTACAAATAGTATACGAGCATTACATCGTAACAAAATAATCGTATTGATATCATAACTATATAAAGATATTTGTGACTTTCGTAATAAATTATTACGAATTATTGCTTTGCCAATTATTCACACAATACATCTTCAGTCGGACAAACATTGAGAGATGTGCGTTTACTAGTAATATACGAGCGTCAAATTGATGTTTCGCATCAATAGAATATTGCAAATGAAATGATAACACAATGAAAACATAAGTTTTTTACCAATTAAACGCCAAAAGTAATTTTTGCAATACTCGTTCGATCGAACTAAAAGTAGCGTTAATTTTGATGCATGAAGTTGACGAAAAAAACGACGCCGCTTCGCCATCTTAATGAGATCGCGGCGGACACGAGATCGACAAACGAGGAGTGCTGTCACTTGTTTCGTTTGTCGATTATCAAGATGGCGTCGTTTTTCGCGTACGATCAACTTCATGCATCATCAAAGTTAACGCGACGTACTGCTTTTCCGAAAAAATATTTTCGGCCAGACAATCAATATATTAGTACTATTAGCTCTACATTACGCGATACTTAAAATATTATAGGAAATAAATACAAAGTAATTATACTTCGTGTCGCATTAAATTGTAACTTAAAAATTTCACACCCGCGAAATCATCGCGAAAACATTGCGGTATTAATAATGTACGTATTAATAATAGCTCAAACATTTTATTTAACACGTAAGACATTAAAACTGTTAAGAGAATTTAAGAGCGATCAGTTTTTAAATATTTCTCGCGCCGCGTGTGAAAATATTAATAACTTAGTATTTATTAGTTACCTCGTTAGTGTAATTTGAACGATCCTTCCGAACCCGTTGTTTTATTCTCTACGGTGCAGGAATTAGGATATTTCTGGAGATTAGGATGCTTCTAAAGGAAAGGTCCATGCAGGTCCATGATATCAATTGATTCGAAGCCAAGGGTGCGAACTATTTCAACGCAATATGACAAGACACACTTGTTGCCCAGCCGAATTGCAAATGCATGAAAGTCTCACTTACGCGCTATTTATATGCCCCGTCAGACTTCGAACCCCACCACTCGCATACCAGCCAATGAACGCGGCTGAGTCTCTGCGGGTGCGTATTCGAGCGCTCATTGGACCGCGCTAGCTTTCGATTAGAGTATATAAATGTGACGTGCAGAAAATTTTAGTCATTTTTGGAATTTGACACCGTGCGTGTCGTATCGATAGATAATCCTGTGCGTACTCGGAATGCGCTGTTAGGATATTAGTTCGTATTTAGCATATAGTTCACGTTACGTATGCTGTAGAATGGCAAACAAAACGTTCTGAATACTGGCCAAGAATTATATTCTTTCCAAAAATAAACTGATTAGAATAAATAAATGAAGACTATTGAAGAAATTGTATAAAAGAAAAATTGAACTTATAAAATAATATGCAATTATAATAAATTGTGGATCATTTAAACACTGCGCAAATATAGAAATATACTTATTATTTAAAGTTCTATAGCAAAATTTTAAATCAAAATATTAATATAATATACAATTTCACTGAGTTTTATTATATTGTTACGTATTAAATATATTATGATAATAATTATGCTGTGTGTGAAATGAAAGATTTTTATTAAGTTTTTTGTATATTAATGTATGTACGTGGCATTGGAAAATAGTCTCATCACGTAGATATAGCCGTAGTTTCCAAATCGAAAATTGATGCACTGAGAATAATGTACGATTTCTAGAGACATCAATGATAACAGGAAAAAGGCCGGGCTCTCCGATTTCTCTCTGACTTAAGAATTACCTTTGTCTCTTTCTTTTTCTTTTGCGACGCGACGCGCGAATGGAAACCCTTCAGTGCTTGTGATGTTCAATCTTACCATAAGCGTATAAGATTTTTACCTGGGTCACCTCGGTGCACTCCAGGTGTCATGTCATCCTTGTTTAATGTACGATAAAACAAAGATGAAGCGATGCTTGGGTGACACTCGAATGGGTATCCGAATTCAGCACATGATTCAGCAATGGATTGGTAACACTGCTGATCGGCTGTATGATCACGTATGGTGAAATAATTTTTTAACACGTGGGATGTAAGACTCATCCAAAGAATAGAAATTAGAAACGTACGCGTGTACGGCAATTGCTGGAAAAAGTTTATTCTATGTGAAGTGAAAATCGTACATACTCGTCGAAGTAAGTAGTTCGGTCTAATTTGTTTTAACATGCACTTAACCTTACTTCTTTTGCCGCTCCACATGCTACCTCGCATTCACATATGCTGTTTTACTTATATCGACGAAAGCTTCTTGATTACAAGTTGAATTTAAAACAATGCTTTATGAGATAGATCTATCATTAATTAAATCGTAATAAAGTTTTTCCGATAAATTGTTTGTTTAATAGATGTCTGTGGTATCCTCAAGAATCAGTAGTGTGTCATCTATGTTGAAAGACAGCGGAGTTAGAGCGCAGTTTATTAAACAACCTGACAAAATATGCATACTCCCGAAAGATATTAAAGATATACTATATAATTATAAAGGTATTAGAAAAAAAGAATACGAAAAGTTGATACATTCGATTAAAAATGGTATTATAAAGGTAAGACAGACAAAAGCGCAGAGAAAATTTACCTGCTTTTACAATGCTTGATATATATATATATATGTGTGTGTGTGTGTGTGTGTGTATCATATAGTTTATATATTAATTGTGTATTATGATGTAAGATACTTTCTTTAAAATGTTCTTTTTATTTCTTTTTTTCTTTTCAGAATAACAATTTAGTAGAATTTATAACTGAGGTAATGCAGTATATACCCTTGTTAGATATTGAACGCAAATTGTTTGTTGAAGCACTTCTTCAAATTAACTGGACGAATAGATCATCACAAGTGATTTTTACGTATAAACTCTTTTTGCAAAATTTAGCGTGTATGCAGACATTTCACACAAATATTGTAATAAATTGTCTCGTCGAATTATTTAAACCAAGTAAATTTTATATTTATTACTAGTCTATAATAATATTTTATTGATAATAATATAACATTTATTATAATATTATTATATATATTATTTTTGTAACAGAGAATAATATTGAACATGAAATTGGACAATTTAAAGATGAAGATGTGGAAAGACTAAATCACATACATGATATATTACGTGAAATTTTGAGAGTAGTACCAATGTAAGATATGGAAAAGTGATTATGAATTATTAATTTTTGTCATCATTAACATATATACATATATACGTGTTATAATTTTTTTAGGTCAAATAAAGATTTACTTGAAGCCCTCGATTCAAATTTTCCATTCTATCTTGTACATGGTACTTATATACATGAAATTTATCTCTATGCATTATTAGAAATTCTAAATTATGCACCTCAGCTAAGAAGAAATATTTTGAGCCTTATTATTAGAAAGTAAGTTTTTCTATTGACAAAAGTATTATTCAGTAAATTTTTGACTTTACTATAATTAATGAAATATAGAAACAGATTACCTCAGAACTATTTACCTTATTCTTTTACTGATAGTCTTTAACTAAGAAAAATCAATCTCTTATAAAATTTTAAAGCTTACATGAGATGAACGTTTGATTTGAATTTGAAATCAATCGTTCTCGTACAAAATTATTTTTTTTTACTTTACTAGTAAGAGAATAAATAGTATATCTGTATTGTAGGCTAGTGACGTTGGATGCCAATGTACCTTGTGAAGAAGTAAACAATGATGAAGACATGGTAGAAGATGATTGTATCAATAATGGAATAGGTGATAATGACAATTTGACCAAAATTAACAGTGGCATAGACAAAAGTAGGACTACACATCCAACTGCACGTATACTAGACTCGTGCCTGGAATTATTTTTTAAATATATGCACGAGTTTTGTTTTGTGAATGACGTTCTACAGATGAAGAACCTGGAGATAATGTATAGCGATATTGTCTATGCATTTGAAAAAGAAATATTAAATATGTATGGCATTCGATATGTGCAATATATCATGTTCTACATGTGCAGTTTTGGACAATTGCGAATTTCAATTGAGGAAAAGTTTACGAATTGGTTGTGGCGTGAAGTGGTTGTGAAACCTAATTCTACAGTACCACCGATTTATCGGCAAACAGCTGTTTGCTATATTTCTAGTCTGCTTGCAAATGCTTCATTTATTTCTCCGCAGTAATTAATACATATCTTTGATAACATTATATAAATAATACATATCTAAAAAAAAGAACATATCTAATATTTGTTATGTCATTTTCTTTCAGATTAGTGGAGACGATGATATTTAAATTGACGCAATGGCTAAACAAATATATCACTTCGCAAGAATATTCGGAATATATTGAGGATTATGCAAAACACATTGTGTTTTATTCTGTTTGTCAAGCGTTCTTTTATTTATTTGTCGCGAGGTACAAGCATTTTGTATTTGACTTGAAATATGGTAAGTCATTTATACTTGTATGAAAGCTACAAATTTAACAGTGAGATAAATTTATACAAACATAATTTTTTTCTTTTCAGAGAAATTTCTTCAGAATCTTTCTCTTTCAATATCCAAAATCGTTACTTGTAAATTAAATCCCTTGAAGATGTGCGATACCAAGATCGTTCACGCTTTTGCCCAAACTACAAGAACATATGGACTAGCCTACTGCGACTCTGTAATCGAATATAACGAGCGCAATCAATTACCCATTTTTGGAATGGACTCCCATTTGCCCGTTCTAATTCCTAATTTTTTTCCGTTCGAATCTTATACATTAGAACATAGTGGACGAAGAATAACTCCTTTATTTTATAATAATATGGCAAATATTGATTGTCGATCAGTTAACAAATGCGAATAAGGAAAGAAGTATATGATTTACATATGTATATATAAAAAAATTATGATGCCACACAAAGAGAAAAAATTTGCTATGGACGCACAAAGGATTACAAAATTTAATTGTTAAATTTGCTTGTACAGCATATTTGACAAATATTTTGCATTGTAAATAATTTTTGTAACAAATATTAAAAAAATAAGTATTTGTTACATCTGCAAATAATTTTACGATTTTATGATTGGCGTAGAATTGGCTCATTGGTTCATAGCTTTTTCTCTGTGTACATTTAAAATCAGTATATACAGGTAGATTTTTTTTATTCTTTCGATTGTTATAGAAATTAAAAGATAAACAAGAATTACGCAATGCTATTTTTTGTAAATTGCTACGTTTTATCGAAAAATTATATACAATAACTTATTTAATAAAATGTTTTGAAATAATAAAATTAGACTGTGTGTACACTTTATTAATGCTATATCAATTTTTTAAAAAATACCGAATAAACGGAGAAAATTTATATACTAGAATATTTATTGAAAAAAGATAAGTTATTAATACAAAAATAATAAATATAACTATGAAGGCTATAGGAATTAACGCAAAAGTTAATCTATATTGGTAAAAATAAACATAAGTCGCGGAATTTATATTTGGATTGCGAATCTACACGCAAGTTTAAAGTTCGTGATCAAACGGCGTCCCGGAAGTTCGGCGTAGAAAAGTTCTGCGCAGTAATCGCGCCATCTTTCCCCCCGTTCAACGTACCGTCCGTCCGTTCCTCGTTGATCGTGGTGTTGGTGATCGCAACCATCGCATCGCAGCGCGGGGTTCGCCCGTGCGAATGGATACGTAAAATGGCGAGGTGCAGTTGTTATTTACTCTCGCCGAACGCATCCAAGTGAGATCGGAGGAAAAACGAGTCAAAGTGCTGAGTACGGTCACTAGCTCGAATTTGTTACGGCGTGTTTATAAAACACAACTCGTGCAAATGCTCGTGAGTATCATCGTTGTACGCT